GATCATAACCGTGATCGCTATTTTAATACTTTAATGCTTCGAGTAAATATCCGATATTTAGATTTCTAAACACAATAAATATTTATATAACGCCGTGAATTGTGATAATTTTAAATTGCCTAAAATGACAGTAAATGATAAACAGTAGGGGGGGGGGGGGGCTCAAAACTGTGAAGTACATTAGTCTGCATGATGTATTTTGAATTTTATTCGATTTATAAGTGAGGGTTGAAGAGGAGGGACATATGTGTCGCTGTGGCATCCAGGGGGTTTACACTCTGAAAAAAATGATAATGTTGACATAACAACAGATAATGTAAACAGACGTAGGTGAACATTCGACTGAAGCACGAGCAACTTATGAATGACTTACACTCAGGAAAGTATTCCGTCATCATCTGACACCAGGTCATCACCATTGAGTAGCCAATCACAGGCCTGGAATTCGATCTCACACATATGTTTGATACCAGTTATCTCAAATGGGTTTCTCACCCACAGGTGTGTAAGAAAGTGTATTATTTCATCACAATAGTTTTGTCAACATATTCCTTAATGAAGTACGCAAATTAATCTTGTATTTACGCTGTCTGATTATAAAAAGTGTTCCTTGTATATTTAGACTATCCTATTTTGTTATTTTTATTCAAAATTTCATTCAATATTGTTTTTATTCACTTCGGCAAAATCAGTTTTGAAGTGATCGGTAGATCGCACAACTCACATTATTTACAGCAACCACGGTCAGATTACTGCTATGGATGCCTTGAAATGGACTATAGTTGACAGAGAATGGATATATATATATATATATGTTACAGGAAATATGTATAATCCAGGAATATGTATAATCCCTGGAATTTTCAGGGAATCTATTTAATGTCTGATTCACTCAGGGAATATACATAATCCCTAATTTTTTCAGGTATTATACATATTCCCTGATTTAACATCAAGTTTGTTAGACATATTCCCTGAAATTACTTTTGAGGCTCTCTCTTATGGTCGAACTTGATCAAAAAAATCGAGAAGACAAATATTTTGACATGATAACAAATAGCTTTCACTTAACTTAGCAATAAGTCTTAACTGTAATAAAAACATAGGATAAAACGGAAATTTAAATACTGTAAATCGAGAAATTAATGCGTCTCCAAAAGAATGCGACCGCGGTCCCGCTGAAATTGTGGTGATGTACAAACTTCCTAGAAAACGCCAACAAGAACAGGAAACTCCAGTTTACTTTGTGACCACTGAAGACACCTTTGATGTCATCAAGAGGGTACATGTTGCTACTGGCCATGGTGGTAGAGACAAGATGGTCAAGGAAGTCAACAAAAAATATGCAAACGTCACACAAAATTCCCTACTCTCTACAAGTCTATGTGTATTGAGTGCCAGCGAAAGCGTAAGAGGTCAACAACAAAAGGGACTGCAGTTAAACCTATTGTTACCAAAGACTTCAGCTGCCGAGCCCAGGTAGATCTAATAGATATGCAGTCAATGAGACAAGGGAATTTCAAGTGGATTATGGTGTACCAAGATCATCTTACTAAGTTCTGTGTGCTGAGACCACTTACCCCCAAACGTGCTTCTGAAGTCGCATATCAGTTACTGGACATTGTCCTATTACTTGGGGCTCCTAGCCCCAGCTGAGTTACAATGGATCTGAGTTTACTGCCAAAGTTATCAGTGAATTGAGGCAGCTGTGGCCTGATCTTGTGATTGTCCATGGCAAGCCTTTAACATCAGGGCTCCATATAAGAGTCTCAAAAGTAATTTCAGGAATATATCTAAAAAATTTGATGTTAAATCAGGGAATATGACTGTATATTACCTGAAAATTTTAGGGATTGTGTTCGGGGGCGGCAGCGTTATGGTATGGGGTGGGATTACAGCAAGACAGAGGACCCGTTTGATAGTGGTAGAGGGAAATCTCAATGGACAGCGCTATCGCGACGAGATCATCAGCCCTGTTCTACTGTTTTTGCGTCGTCATGGCCCAGGCATTACCTTTCAACATGACAACACCCGGCCACATATTGCCCGACTTGTTCAGGAATCTCTTGTGCGACGCCAGGGCCCACTTGCACAAAGCGATCTTAGCCCTAAGACTATTGTAAGCCTATGTTAAAGTATGGGAGCTACGATCATCTTAGCGCTAAGATCGCTTTGTGCAAGTGGGCCCTGGTCTATTCCATGAGTGAGTGAGTGAGTATGGTTTTACACCGCTTTTAGCAATATTCCAGCAATATCACGGCGGGGGACACCAGAAATGGGCTTCACACATTGTACCCATGTCGGGATTCGAACCCTGTACACAAACAGCAGATTAGAGACCCTGATGTTAGATGCATAGGTGTCAGCAAACACATTGATGATTGCGGAAACGGGAAATTTACCATTTTTCCGTTTTATAAATTGTTTACAAGTAACAAGCAGCTGAGACTGGAAAAAGAACAAATGTTTATCCAATTGATGAAACCGAAATTGAACTCTAGAATGTATTAAAGCTCTGCACGCTAACGTCGAACCCATTCGACAGAGGTGTCCATCCCCGTGCATCTGATGTCGAACCCATTCGACAGGCGAAATGCATAACAACACCCCAAAATAAAACTCGCCATATCTATTTACCAAGAAGGCTTTGCGTAACATTTAAATTACGTATGACATGCATAAATCCTCAGCTTGCTCAATATCAAAACGTTCTGTCATTTATTTACTTCAAAAAGAAAATATCGCAAGTTAAAAATGTTTCGGCCAAACTTCTCGGCACACAACTACCAGAAACGGCCATTGTTGACTTTTGGCACTTCACGTTGAGCGGCATGCAGTCCGATATTTTCTTTATAATTTCATCATTTTTCCTATTCGATCATAATTTTTTGTTTGCTGACGAAAGGAAAACACTCATGTTCCTTAATTTCTAAAAATTAGCAACTTTCGGTGTAACTAATTGTAAACAAAAACAATCTGAATCGTAACATCATCGATTGGATGAAACAATCGGAAATGTTACACTGTTACTTTACAAATACTGTATATTTTAATTCAAATGTCTCTCTACAATTGTTAAATTACTTGGTGTCGTCGCTGGAGTGTGTAAATACATTATGACGTGACAGTTGTAATTTATGACGTCATCATAAGTATGACATGATATTATAAGTCATTGTCAGTTACACTGAAGAGCTGTCATGAGACAGCGAAAGTACTATGTCTGAAACTGATATAAAGAAGATGATGGACTAACGTGGACTTTATTATTTCATTATATATTACATGTACACCGAGTGAACATTTACCTCATTTTTGTATATATATATATATATATATATATAATTATTATTATAATTATTATTATAACTGCCAAACTTTGACTCATTGAAAGTCAAATTTGTTGTAGTTTGACTATTATTTGTCAACATAAAGTTTTCGCGAGCACAACAGTGATTGGTCAAATTGTTCCATACGTAAAAAAAATATCTGGAAATAGCAATCAGCAGTCCCAAAGGGCAATGCTTATGGCCATTATTTTATTTCAAATATATGTGGTAAAACGGCAACTAAAATAACAAGATATTGAATTATGAAATTCCTGATAAAATAATAGTTTCAGATACAATTCTTCTGATTATTGTATCGAAATTCTTTTTTACCCAAGTTTATTTTTGGGTATTTTTTAACCTAATCACCTGTAGATTCCGAGGATATGTGTGTACAGCTGATTGCAGCTTAGTTTACAGGACAATACACGCGGCAGTCTTACTCTCTGCATATGAAACAATGCCTAGCAGAAGAGGAAATACAATTTGAACAGTAAATCATCATGTCTTAATCTATATATATACCGGTATCTCAAATTTCAAATTTGTATAGAGCAAGTTTAATTGTTATCACCTGTTCATTTACGTGAATTCGCTGAAGGAATCCAACTGGGAATTAAATCTCATCAGTTTATTTGTCACTTTATTTGCATTAACAGGCTTCTTAGGGAAATTCTTCATGAATTTTTGTAAACCAAGGTTTACCCCACGCTGCATCCGGGCTAGTGGTACATCAAGAGCATTATGTGAAGGAATCACTGTAACCTTATATTGTCCTTTTTGATAAATCCAATAAAATCATTATATCATTGAATTTTCTGTCCCTTTTGACACTAATGTGATTGACAAGATTCAGGAAAACATGGCAAATATGCGGACCTCACTTTCGGAATGTCTCGCTTGCATCCCAAGTACAAAGTTTTCCAACTCCCCATTGTTCTCGGTGCCTAAGGTTTGGTATCTCCCAATCTGTTGACTGACATTGGGAGAGTACCAGCATTTGGTGCCAGGAATACAGCCCTTCTGACAATCTGTGTAATGCAGAAGGCTACAGTTTTGGGGAGCCTTCACATTCTCTGAAAAAGTTCTGGGTGAGTTTGACTAGACAGCCCTTCCAAGTCCCCTTTGCTGTCTTGGCTGTGTGTTGATGGGGCAAGGGCCTTGAGCTGAAAAACAACAAAAACAACAACATGATAATTATAACAGGCTTGCCAAAAACAAAAGGGCTGTCAGAGATACTGGCTCAAAATCCTCAAAATAATGATTACAATAGTGCTCTTTTCAGCTTACTACCTCCGAGAGTTGAAGGTCGGGTGTTTAATCAAGATATGGTACTTGTACTTTCTGGTACTTGCTGTTTTTTATGCTGCCTGGCATTCGGCATTAGAATAAAAAGAGTACTGGTCGGCACGGAGTCAGTGTACTGTGTCTGAGTGGGGTACCATGGTAAACTGCGGTATGCCTAGCGTTGAATAATTGGCACTAGTCCAGGCTAGTACAAGCATTCAGACTCATACACATCACTATGTAAGTGCAATAATCTTAAATGTGTTGTAAACCCCATTTCACCTCACCTCGTCTCACCTCACCTCATCCTGTGGAGATTAGCCAAGCACAATTGACACACCTTAACATCAAAATCTTCTCCTTATTAGTTATTTGTTATTGCAGGCCCCCAAGACTTGTTGTCAGAAGATTTTGAGCAAAGTGATGTTGAGAAAGATGACATGACCCTCCTCAATGAAATCCTCAATGCTCCATCAACAGGAGAAGATGAATTTGCCCAAGAGTGGCAAGCAGTATTTGGTTCCAATCCACTCCATGCCTCACCAGCCATGGTGCCAGCTGAGCCGGATCACTCCAAGACACCAGCAGAGTTCATGCCCTCAAGTCTTCTGGACATCTCCTCCCACATGTCAGGCCTTGCACTCACATCAGGTAAGGATATTTAGTGTGTGGATGCATTCTTACATGGTCAACCCTCATGAAAAAAATTGGCTCAATTGCATAAAAAATCATGACCTGAGGCCGCACTATAAATACATCAGCGATTCGAACTTTTTCACATGCATGACTTTTACGCCATGAGAGCTATTCTCAAAAGTATTAGTTTCAGAATAAAAATATTTGGTGTGTGGATGCATTCTTACATGGTCGACCCTCATGAAAAAAGTTGGCGCAATTGCATAAAAAAATCATGACTTGAGGCCGAACTATAAATACATCAGCGATTCGAACTTTTTCACATGCATGACTTTTACGCCATTAAAGCTATTCTCAAAAGTCACCAAGCTGTTCCTCACATAGGGAATAGAGGGTCAGGATGACAAACGGGATGCTGAGCATGTTACTGGAGACTGGAGCATGTAACTTTAATCCAGATTAAACAAGGTTGTTAGATGTTGATTATGACCTTGAAGACAAATGCTCCTCTCCAGAACGGGTCTTTGATTATTTGTTTTCACTGATATATCATGTGTTATCCCTCTGCAATGTCATGCATCTGTTGTTTAGTTCACAAAGTCCTTAAACTGTTAAGCAATATCTTCGTTTCCCGATTCGTCAATTTCCAAGTTCTTGGTGTTTGTACATGAATTTGTTTGGAATCATAGATACCAGAGATATATGACTAGTCATTATTCCTCTGTCAGCAAATTTCAGCAAGATATGAGGTCATTCAAAACAGGGAATCACAAATTGTTTGAGAACTTAAATGATTAAACAACACCAACTATTCTATGCATTTGATACTATGTTTTTTATGCAAAATAACTAGTTTGGCAGATGCTCACCCATTCAGTGGTATGTCACTGAATCAAGGTGAGCCTCAGTACCGTGGTACTGTGGTCTTCTACCCATCAGAATAAGTAGTCATCATTTAATGAAAGTTGAAGTTACAAACCTGACAAATCTGAACTTTCATAGAGTTGCAGAGTGCCAAAAAATAATGTATGGCATAATCTTTCGTGTCTTCCTGAGTTACATATATTTGTATTATGTTAAACACTGCAGGGATCGAAATTAAAATTTATTTCAAGTGTGCCAATTGGCACAGTTATGCCAAATTAAGTGTGCCATCACATTTTTAGGTGTGCCATCACAGTTTTAGGTGTGCCAGGAAATACATGATTGGCTTCTAAACTGTTTTAATGGTTACTCATAATTCAAATACACGTCAAGTGACTGTCATAGTGTTTATTTAAGTCAAATTATACTTAGAATGAATGATTAATCAGAAAATTCAAACACCCATCACTCAAGTTACCCATTTCCGGTTACTCGTTGCCTTGGAAACTTGAAAAAATGGTTGATCAGTTACAGTCAGTTGTAGCTGTTCTGTGTCCATGGGGTGTGGTCCCTCTTCTGGTAACCCCCCTGTATGTACTGTACTGAGCCACAGTCATCAACCTCGACAGTGTCTGGGACTTCAGCTTGTAAAAACATCTTTGCTACTACATGTTATACATCATTTGAAAGGTCTAATCCTACTGTTTATACATATGAAAGTTATGTTTATTACATTATTTGATTAATGCATTTACAACTAAATTAAGTGTGCTGTAAATAAAAAAATCTAAGCTAACACATTCATAACGTCCAGATTGAGGACCAAAGAAGCGAAAATTTGACTATTTTCAGCAAATATAAGATTTCATAAAATCCACGTACCTATTTGGTTTTGTATTTTTATTCTTTATGTAATTAGAATTTTTTTTTTTTAAAAGAATTATAAATAATATCTGTCATCATCATTTTCCGATAACAGCGGCTGTCCACTCAGTAGCATGAAGAAATATCTCGGTTTTCGAAGCTTCGTATGAATAACACGTGCCATGTGACATGTGACACACGATTATCTACAAAGCTTATTTTGTCATCTGCATGATAGTAATCTCGCCTTGAGTCTTTATGTTATGGTAACTTGTGATTTTATTGGTTTCTAATGACGCTTTCTTGCCGAAATCTGCAACACGATTCGTTAAATTTGAGCTCGAGACCTAAGGCAGGCAATCATATTACAGCAATGGTACCGTCCTCGAGTACGATGAATTTTTTTTGTTAAATCGTGTTATTCTGAAAATTTTAAGCAGGAAATCGAGATCTATATTAAAAATATGAAACTTTGTGGATGTATTGTGCAAGGTTACGAGCTGTGACAAAGATTTTTCATGCATATATTTTGGCATTAAACATTGTGTCCGTGCGGAGAAATCGAAGCGACAAAAGCCGAGATGTCATTTGACTCACATTACATGAGATTGCATGAAAAGATGGAAATGATAAATTAGATGTAAGTTTGACAACGTTTACATATATTTTTGTTGATTTTATTTATTATTTTGTATAATATATTTAAAGATTGGATTGACAAGTTCTTATTTTGCTCTTTGACATATTCGATGTGGACCCATTGTCGAAGTGTGTGTCCGAGAATTATATTTTCAATAACATTGCGGGAAATAGATCGAGTAGTAGTATAGGTAATGATGGTTCTGGACCACTTCCACTGGAGCAAGATTCATATACCTATACTGCTACTACAGATGGAATTTTTTATGCCAAAATGATTATGCGATTCAATGATAGTCATAAGTAGTATTAAAAGAAACATCAATATTAATTAATGATGAATAAAATTTACTATAGCCCACGAGGATATTGGAAAGGTGTAGGAGCTATAAAAAAATTAGCCACCGCGGCTAAGGTATCTAAAGATGTGGCCAAGGATTGGTTAAAGAAACAAGCGATGTGGCAGATATATTTACCGGCACCGCGTTATATACCGAGGAAAAAGTTTGATATTTTTACAACGAATGAAGTTCCTCAGGCTGACCTCTTGTTTCTTCCCCACGATAAGGTAAAACGCAAAACGTATAAATACGCTTTAACAGTAGGGGATGTGGCTAGTCGATACAAAGAGGCTGAGCCATTAACCTCGAAAGATTCAACAGAAGTAGCTAATGCACTGAGCCGCATATATAAACGCGGACCACTAAAATGGCCTAAGCTTTTTCAAGTAGATCCCTGTCGTGAATTTATGGGATCGGTAACTAAACTGTTAACAAAGCACGATGTCGAAATCAGGCGTGGTGAAAGAGATGCCCACCGCAGTCAAGCTATCGTCGAAAGATTTAACAGGACATTAGCGGAACGTTTGTTTGGCTATCAGTATGGGATTTAAATGAAATCCGAGCGATTGAGATCAACCGAATGGGTGACACGTTTATCAGCCGTTGTATCAGCGCTGAATGATGAAGTTACGAGATTAATAGGGAAGAAACCATCCGATGCTATTAAAATGAAATCCGTGACTTCCGAATCTTCAGCACCGAGGAGAGGCAAAGAACGAAAACTTCCGGATAGAGTAAGGGTAAGATATTTATACCAGCCTGGTGAACTCGAAGGAGGCCTACGTCGCGCAACCGATCCCATATGGTCCCTTAAGACATATAACATAAGTCGATTGGTTATGAAAGAAAGAGAGCCTATTCTTTATTATCTTCAAGATGGACCGGGTAGGGCATTTGTACGAGAAGAGTTGTTCATAGTTCCCGACGGTACGGTATTACCACCATAACCATAAGCATAGGTAGTTACACCATCCTTATCAATCCATCTCTTTGTATCTAAGGGGGATAATGATGTCTTGTTCATTCTTAATCCATATATCCTATGATTGTAACTTCTTAAAGAGTTCATCTCGTGTTTGAACGTTCTACCGTTGAATAATGATTCTTTATACTGTTCGTGTTTGATATGCTTTTTTACAACATACTTCTTAACGCCCTTAGCTTTTCTTATCTCCCCATTATCGGACTTCTTTATAGAATACATCTTAGGTCTTAATCCGACATACTCCGCTATAGGGGTCCCAGCACATTCATCCTTCATCTTACCTAACACCTATTTATTTACTACGCTGTGCAGTGGATTATCTTTAGGGTAATCGCTCGTGTCGTACATATCTATTTTTTCCGCCATATCTTTATACACATCCTCGGTTTGTATTTCCATCAACAAAGAATCTGTGTCGGTATATAACACCTCGCATCTATCGCCGTATTGCTTCTTAAGTTTGTTGTAATAAAAGTCATACATTAAGTGTTTTGACAAGTCGAGAATACTCATACCGACGTACACCGGTCTGTTGAATTTTATATTACTCTTCTGCATGTGCAACGCGGCTAAGTCGTTATCGAATATCTTGCTTCTGTTAAAAGCCGGACTGGCTATAAGTTTCCTGAGTCTTTCTTCCTCATTAGATCTGACTAATTTAACATCAACACGCTTCCTTAGATTCTCCATAGTTTTACCAAATACTGAGTTATTCATGAGCTTATACAGATTCTTTTCAAAATCGCTGGTAGCTATCTTTCTTAAATCTGTGTTCAACCTTATATAGGGCTCCATGCATCCAAGGGCTTTGATCAAACTTAGAACTCTGTGTATTTTCTTAAGTTTCATACCTAACGATAGATACAACTGGAGATTTCTATGGTGAACTATATATTTTGTTTTATCCATCAAATTTGGTACGAGTTTTTCTACGTTAGCTAACCTACTATTACCCATCAAGGAGCGTTGATATTCCGAAATCCAATCTTTATTAACCATTAATCTTTCGGGAGCTAGCGGATAACTGTTATGATCTTTATGTAACGAACTTGGATATTCCAAGTCAACTTCTAGTATGTACCCTTTATTCGCATCATTCACATTGATATCATTATCATCGACCTACTCAAAACCACCCGTGGGTGAAGGTTGACTCATAGCCCATCCGTACAAATTGTTAGCGTCGAGATATAATATGTGCGTGTCGGGTTTACTCGGATCGTATCCTTTCACTAATGTATTATTAGCCTTAGAATACCTTTTCGCTGCCATCGATATACCACCTCTTAATCCTTTCTCAATAAACAAGTGCATATCGTAAT